GTCTGGTCTAGTCTCTTCGAAAAACATACTCTATGCTTTAGCTTCAACTGTCAACTCAAATGTCAAAAAGATAAAGAATAATAACATTTCCAAGAATCAATGTAAATAGTTAAATCATTATCATCCTAGACAATATAATAATATTTTTATCATATTTAAGATTATTCGTTACAATAGATTAGAGATTATAAATATTTTGTGATTAAAAGCACTAAAAAATGTCTGGTGTAGTGAGTTTCTATCAATGATCCTAATATTGAAAATGAACCACTAGATTTTTCTATAGAAGACCTTAAACGAGAAAATGAGGATGAATTTGATGGTATTGTTAAGTCTGAATCTAGTTCTGAAGACGACGAACGTGTTAGAAAGATTCATGAATTCTGTGAAGTAACGATTGATGAAGAAATCAAACAGGAATTGGATGATGAGGACGAAACACCTTTCGAATGCTCAATATGCAGTAAAGCATTTAATACAAAGTATTTATTAGATCTGCACTTGTGTGATTCTTTAGAAAAACCCTCAAGCTTCAATGAATCCGATAAAAATGCATGCTCATACTGGAAAACGGCTTCACAGATGTGGTTTATGCGATAAGGTATATGTATCATCGAGTAATATGGAACAGCATACGCGTACTCATACAGGAGAACGTCCATACAAATGTAAAATATGTGATAAGGTATTCATATCATCAAGTAATCTCAGAATGCATTCACGCATTCATACAGGAGAATGCCCATTTAAATGTGAAATATGTAATAAAGCATTCAGTACATCAAGTCCTATGAATGCACACATGCGAACACATACTGGGGAACGCCCTTATGAATGTCAAATATGCAATAAAAAATTCACACAATTAAGCAGTTTGAAAACACATATGCTTATTCATTCCGGAGATGGTCCATATAAATGCGAAAAATGTAATAAAGCATTTCTTTCATCATCTGGTTTAAAACGTCATTCGCAAACTCACACTGGAGAACGCCCTTTTGAGTGCTCGATATGCAATAAATCATTTGCAGAATTAGGTACTTTAAAAACGCACATGCTCGTTCATTCTGGAGAGCGCCCATTTAATTGTGGAATATGTAATAAAGCATTCCAAACATCGAGTAATTTAAAGCAACATATGCAGTCACATACAGGAGAATCACTCTATAAATGTGAAGCATGTAATAAGACTTTTATAAAAGAAGTAGTCTCTACACACACAAGCAGCGCAAGCATAAGACGTGAAATATGCAATTGATTAGTCATCATGCGGGATGAAAAGTAATTCAATTTCTAAATTGGCTGTTACAAAATTGAGACTGCTTCTGGTAGGAGAGTGAAAATTAAGGCTCCAAGATAATGAATCATATAGTTGTACCGAAGATTCAGTTACTATTTGGTATTCGGCATATTCGGCACCTTTTTTGATATTCGGCCGAATACCGAATATTTAAAATCAAAGGAGCTGCCGCCGCTTAGCAAAAATATTGTGTTTTATCTGTTATGCGATAATGAGCTTGCGATGGATCTGTATTTGCAAGTCTATAGTTTACATAATATGATATAAAGAAATTCGTTATTATATTTTGTATATATAAAATTTTTATCTTTTTTGACTTCTGAGATTATAAAACAAACACGTGAAGGAGTCTTTTCTCAATATTCAAAGGACACGTTATTGTTATATGTTTATGTTAAGAATGATTCAACCATTACACGCACGTTTTGTATCTATATTCAATAAAGTCATTCATTATATTCAATCTTAACATTTCTAAATAAAGAGATATTAAGGGCTTTTTATCACAAAAAATATGAACAATATTTTTGATCAGTTTTTATTTATTTTATTATGATTGGCCTTCCTGATATATAAGAAATAATATTATGTTTATAAGAGAGAATATTAAATGTTTATGAAAGAAATAATATGAAATACATTTATATCTTATATATAAAATTCTTCTGTACAGGTGTATGATTTGATACTTCCCCTAAACGGTTATTCGGATTTTGATTCTTTTTAGGGTTTGTCAAAGAAAATTTTTGAGATTTAACCTAGACAATATACTAATATAGACGTTTCTCTCTCGCGGTATTTGCGTTCAGAGAGCTAGGGAAAGTCACGACCGCAATATTGGGTGATGGCGCTTTAATCGCATGTCGCTCGGCAGCCTCGTGCTCCAAAATGCATTCAAATTAAAGCGCCAAAATTAGAAATAAAAGAAAATTGTCAATTTTAAAAATAATTTATTTGTATTTAAATTTTGCATTACAATAGTCTTATATTGACATTGTTATACAATAACAAAACATACCAAACAATAATACATATATTAAAATAGATATCAAAGTAAATAGCAATATGTTGCAACAAACATATTTATTTAAAAAAAGGAAAAATAAAAAGTTTAACGAATTACAGGATTCCTGCCTTCAAGTGGATAATCATTCATTATTCACTACCAATAATGTTGTGAACACAAAACATGGTGTTTAAATTATAGTGTCTGTGCATTACTTTATTAACTAATAATCATTCCAAGTAAGATTTGTCACTTTTCAGCACATTCTTTGCGATAAATCCAGTCATGCTAAATGGCTCTTGATATTATCTTGAATATTCAAAAAACTGCTGCATTAAATTAACTTATTTTATCATCTTGCACGGCAATTGGATTTCGTTCATTAACTCAGTGGCGTTCCTAAAAAATGTAAAGTCTAGTCTATTTATGCTTTTCCATATATATTTAAGAGCCTCCAAAGTTTAATACAATTCTGAAAAGTTAGAGGAGCCTTGTCTTTCTTATAAAAGAGCCCTAGCTTGCTCCCAAAATGTATTGTGATTAAATTTTTATTATATACACTGCTTTATATCCTCTTCATTTAAGAGTTATAGATTTTGTTTGAATCACAAATAAAACCGTATAAACAATTATAAAACACTTGTAAACACAACAATCACAATAAGAATCAAAACAAAATTTTGACATTTCTGGTACATATTGCTCGTAAATTACTAACCTGTCAAACTTGTCATCGGCTCATTAGCGCCAAATTTGCGCCTAGCGGTCGTGACTGGAACTACGCATTGTGAACGCGGATTTTGTACTGAGATAATAGGGCCTGGATTTAATGAACAATAAAACTATAGTAATATTGTATAAATAAATGTCAAAAATGAAAAAAAAACACTAATTATTGTTTGACATTGAGAACATTTAAAAATGTCAATTCACTTGAAATTTGAATTCAGCTAAAATTATTAGCCTAGATAATATTAGAATATAATATTATTGCCAAAAAGCAGCTGAGATGTGCCAGAAATTAAAATAATATAAGTTACAGTCAACAGTATATGTTGGCAGAGGGAATTATATATTTTAAATAGCGCAATAAGTCCAAAATTGCATATACATTATTTTTTTAAACTTATGCATGTCGCGTTTTGGTTTACTTTACTAAATTATTTAACAATACATAAAAATATTTCTACTTGATAAAAAAATGATTTAGAATTTTGTTTCAAAAATTCCAAATGCCGAATATACTATTCATTGCAAGCCTAATATAAACCTTACCCTATCTTAATTTAAACTTTTTTGTTATATATTTGTTTACCTTTAAGTAATAATTACAAATTAAGTATATTTGTATTCATTTCGCAGATTTATATTAAAATTGATCAACAAAATATAAGCACTTAAAACATTTTTAATTTTCTTCCAATAATTTAATTTCCATAGCGGGCATTATAATATATTTACATTAGTAAAATCTAAATGAATATGTGCCTTAGGGCAAATTGCTGGAACTTCCTGTGCCATAACGAAATATTGGAGGAATATTAAATATTTTCAAATAGATTATTATAAATACAATAACATTTCCTAATGTTTATAAGAATTATATAAACTGGAGTTTTTTAATTCATTCAAATCGGATGCTTAGTTCTCTCAAAATCTGCAATTTTTTGTACGTTTAGTTCTGTATCTTTGAAATGGCTGGACCTGCCTTTGCCAAAAACTAATCACCACTTCTCCCAATCATTTCAAACTGAATGTTTTTTTTTAGATCATTCAAATCGGATGCTCCGTTCTCTCAAAAACTCGATTTCTATTTTCTGCACTCTTTGCTCTTTATCTCCGTAACGGCTGGACCTGCCTTTGCCAAAAACTAATCAGGTATCATTTTTACCTAACTAATCAGTATTATTCCCAATCAATATCTTTCGAAAATAAAATTGATTTTTTAAAATCGATTCAGAATTGAGAGCTAACACGTGGACGAAACGTTTTTCCACGTTTTTGCTATTTGCAAAGAAACGGCTCAGCCGATCGTCGCACGAAACTGAGAAAAGATAATCCACATCGAAATACATCGATTGGCTTTTAAATTTTTGAAAACGGTTCAGACGTTTTTAAGCAAACGTTGATGAAAGTTCGAATTTTCACAAACGCCAAAAAACGAAACTAATTTTTGCAAACTCTGACGATTTTTTAAAATTAAACGAGTTGTCGTAGGGCCGTAATATTTGAGTATGATCTAGAAGACTATGGTATCTATCGTCAAAAAAATAATAATAAAAATCGTCGAAAAAAATTTTTTTCACACGTTATTACAAGAAAAACCTACCGTAAGAAAAAAAATCATAAAAATCGTCCAAAATTTTTTTTATCACTTTATTACAAGGAAACGGCCTGCCGATCTTTACCAAAAACTTATCAGCACGAATCCAACCAATATATTTCAAAGGGTTTTTGAATTTTCAAAATCCTCATCCAGATACATCGAGTAACTTTTAAATTTTTAAAATCGGTCCAGTCGTTTTTGAGAAAACGTCGATTTAGGGCAAAAAATATGTTCCCATACACCCACACATACTTTTTCCAAATTTGGTCTCATTCGATTCAGAATGGCTTGAAACGTCGAGAAAACAAAAAATTTGCGAATCGGATTTCTGGATGAAAATAAACTCCTTCGGGAAGTTAATATATTCTCTTATTGTTCGACTGGGAAACAAATTACATTAAAATAAATTAGTTTATTTTCAGGGAATCGTTTTATTTTGACCAAACTTTATTGTACAATTTGCTCATTAACATGTTTAAAAAATATGTTCAACGAAATGGCAAGTTGTCTTTATGCAAAGCTAAACATAATAGTTTTCTCTGGCGAGTATTTATACCTGCCCCGCCTATAGTGTGTAAATATTATCTATTTCTCTGGCTTTTAACAACTTACCAACAGGCCCATCTTCTAAATCACTTCCTGCTATTGGAAGACTTCTATCTGAATCTGTATCAATCATGGTCATAAAATTTCCAAGAAGAGATGATGGCCTTCTAGGTCTACTGGTTGAACACTGTTCGTTTTCGGAATCTGTTTCAATTTGAAGTACCAGATTTTCAGAAATGTTGTCTTCTTCGATGTCTTGAGTGAATGAGTTTACAATTTCCATGCTGGTATCTAGAAAGTTACTAGACATGGGTTCTGTAAAAGAATTATTTGGATTCGGTTCATTACTATCATCATCTAACATATAATCTATTAGGGAGCGTCCATTGATCACGTGATCGATTTTTTAAGGATATTTGGAATCCGACTTCCCCTCTGGTGATACATGGTGATATTCAAAATTACCCCCCCCCCCCTTTCTCCATCAAACATCAGATGTACTTTAGTTACGGGAAGAAATTGTAAAATTTGATTTTTTTTAAAAAATCAGGTAAAGAATAAATACACGTGATGTCTTACTATACTCCTCCTTCTCCCACGTGGTTTTTGGTAATTTTTTGTCGATACTAGAAACCTCACGTGATTAATGGACGCCCCCTAAGTTGGTTCTGTGTTTCGTACGAAGCTACTGATTACGGTTAACTTACACACTTAAAATACATTTTTAGAATCCGAATTCGATGAGATAAAATGAGTTAAATAAATAAATTTAATTTATACAATTCCAGATATTATGAGTATGTTTGAAAGACATCAGTTTGTAGTGAAAGCGAACCGAACATTTCGAATTTATTTTCGAAATAAACAGTTGAACATTTTATCTAGATAGCTAAATCTCAATGCTTATTGATTAAGTTGTTTATGTTTCATAGACCTTATAATACATGGACTCATAGTCCTCATATGTTCGCCTGTTTAAGTGTGAAAACATGAAAGGCGATTGCGACGTCACCGGGTGAACGAACGTTGCCGAGAACCGTCGAATAATCCCGTTTGTTTGAATGTCATAATAGTTACCATGGTTACACTCTTGTTTGCTTAATGTCATAATAGTTCCATGGGTACTTGATGGAGAGTATTCGAGTACGAGCCATAAACCTTAACTGAGCGAACTTTGCCGACGGCAATCGCGTACTCTCCCGATTGATTAAATGTCATATGTCACATGTTTAATTTTAATAATATAATGGCAATTGTGATGGCTGATGATTTTGTAAAAAATGATATTAATAATATTATGAAAGGTGAGATAAATGTACATAAAATCGAATCCACCTGTTAAAATCGGTTTATATATTATAAGGCATATGTTGGGCACGAAGCACATGGCATATGACACTTAATCAATCGGGAGAGTCCGCGATTGTCGTCGGCAATGTTCGCTCAGACATGTGACGTCACAGTCTCTTCTATGTTTGCAACTACAACTATTTACTACTATATTTACCTTTTGGTAATATTTCTTTGGAAATAATTTGTATTCCATCCACTTCACCTGGGCTATTTAAATTTACTTCATCGACTATTTCAGGTTCTGAATCAGTAAAATCATTGTCAAATGTTTCACCTGCATTTGGTGAGTCGTTTGGAATGACTACATGATCATTATCACAGCTCAATATATTATCATCTTGTTCAGGTACACCATTAACTATAAGATCAACATTAACATTTTGTTTGACAACTTTATCACTAGTCATCATATCATTGGAATCAAGTTCAACAGCCAGCTTTGTACCATTTTCATCAGGTGTAAAATCGATACTTTTATGTACATTAACATTTTTGCTTCTTTTGATAATTATATCATTATCATCATCGGACACTAAAACTTTCTTGTTTCTCTTACGACCTGATAATAAAATACTGTTCAAAATTTCTTCATCTTCAGAATCCGTTTCAATCCTGAGACCAGTCTCAAAACTAGTATCAAAATCATCAGTATCAGAAATTGTCATTAGTTTTTGGGTTAAGTACATTTTACTTTCCATGATTTTACGTTGTGTGCTCATCTCGATATCAATCATATTCCTATCTAAGATAATGGATAATTTTTTAAGGTTATAACGTTGGGTAATAGAAGATGTTTCCGATCTTTTCGTAACAGTTTTTCTAGATTTGTATTTTTTGATAGTCTTAGATTTTTTCTGTCGTCTATTTTTAACAGGTTTCTTTGGCTTTCCTTTTTCATTATTAATGTTCAAAAGTTCTTTTATACGTTTTGATTTACGAAATCCTTCACTGTACTCTTTCAAACAATGTTCAGGTTGTGGATGAGTTTTGTAAACAGTCATTTTTTTATACTTTCTGTACCCTTTTAAAAGTTCATTTAATCTCTTATTAGATTTGTTTTTGAGTTCCAACCTTTTTAAAACAGGCTTATCGGAATCACTATCAGAATCTTGAGTAATCTTTATTGACATAAGTTTTTCTTTTACGTTTTTAGTTAAATTTGGTTTACAAGAATCCTTAGGTGATTTATACTTCTTGGATTTAATTCTTTTAAACTCAGATTCACAATTGTTGTGGTCAGTTTCAAATACTCGTTTCTTTGTAATAGCAAGAATATTTTTAACCATTGATGATGGTTCAATGGAAGATCGATGTTGATCTTCCATTTTTGGTTCTTTAGTCAATATTACAATTGGAGACTTGCATGTTGTTAAACTATCATTATTGGAGGATTTTGACTGTTTGGAACTCTTACTTAGACCACCTTCCTTGTTAAACATTTCATGCTTATTTGCATTTACACTTAAAGCTTTAGGTACTGACTTATTTATATTACTCAAGATCGGTTCAATTTTATCACAATCTTTTTTCATCTGATGAAGATTTATTTTGGCTTCTAATGCATTCTTAGTTGCTGCTTCAATGTTATTGTTTGTTAGACTATTTTCAGGTACAATTTTTGGTTCTTTAGTCAATATCACAATTGGAGACTTACATGTGGTTATTATATCATTATTGGAGGCTTTTGACTCTTTAGAACTCTTACTGGAACCTTCCTTGTTAAACGATTGGCGTTTATTTGAACTTTCACTTAAAGCTTTAGGTATTGTCTTATTTATATTGCTGGCTTGGCTTGCTGGACTATTTTCAGGTACAATTTTTGGTTCTTTAGTCAATATTATAATTGGAGACTTACATGTAATTAAACTATTCTTGTTGGAGGCTTCTGACTGTTTGGAACTCTTACTGGAACCTTCCTTGTTAAACAATTGGCGTTTATTTGAACTTTCACTTGAAGCTTTAGGTACAGTCTTATTTATATTACTCAAGATCGGTTCAATTTTTTTAGAATCTTTTTTTGTACTATCAACATTATAAACACTTATTTTCTGAAGTTCTCGTTCTTGATTATTTTCATCTGATGTTTCAGTTTCAAAGCTACTTTTACTACAATTCTCAGTTTTACTTTTGATCTTATTACTAGATCTTTTATTTTTTATAGAATTATAGTCATGTATATCCCTATTTAAAATTATGTCATCAGCTTTAGGCAAAGCTTCACTCAAACTTTTTCGCCTAGTAGAAATTCTGGTCATACCAGCTTCTCTATCTTGAGTCGATAAATCATTTCCAATCAACTCATTAGCAATGGTTGAAATATAACCAGAATAAAAGCTTGCACGCCTTGAAAGTGATGTATTTGCCTTAGAATCTGGATCATTATTTTTTTTTACCTGTTTGGAACCTTCACTATTGTTGGCAAATTCATTTTTGTTAAACAAACTATTAGTTTTTGCACTACATCTGCGAGTTAAAATCTCAGTTGGACTTCCATTGAATTTTAAGTCTTCAGGAAGTTCATCTATTATATTTGTGTCTTTATGTGCTAAAATTTTAGATGGTGATTGACTAGGAAAGGTATTGATATCTCCTGGTTTGGATAAAGATTGAAATTTGATGGGTGGTATATTTAATCTCAAAATTTTAACTGTAGGTACTGATTTTGTATTTATTTCTGTACTATTAGTATTAATCTTATTTGTCATAGTACTATCAGCATCAAATCTTTTCCTCCTATCAAGTTCTCTACGAGGAGTTGTATTTGATTTTTCTTTTGAAAATATATTAGAATATTTTTGAATTAACCTAAAATGTTCCCTTTGAATTTCTGAAATTAAAAATATTCGGATTACATACAAAATTTTTATGTAATATTAATGTTTAAATCTTTACCTGCTTCGTTCGACATTAGGGGCATTTTTATAGCAAATTATTTATCAATACAATTTACTTAAAAAATTAACACTTTAAATCCCAATAGAGAAAAACTGTTTACGAAATAAGCGCTTTTTTCATACACATTTTGACAGCCAAAACAAAATGTATTTCCAGAGGAGAAAATAGTTTTGACAGGCGAAAAAGTATTACCAGAGTGGCGAATGTGGCGCCAGATTCAAATTCGTTATTTTTGTAAGGAAACTAGTGGCGCGTAAACATTGACCTTATAATTCATATGTATTATAATAATAGCTCTTTTCATACTTATATAAGTTAATTGAAACAAATACATATATGCAAATAATATTATATTATGATAGTATATAATGATATTCCCAGAATAGTTGAATACAATTTGTATCTTTATGTAAAAATCAACGCATGTATTTAAGTCAAATAAAGCAAATTTTCAAATAAAAAAAATAATTTTTCAAAAAGATTATTTTAAATTCTGTAATATCGTCTAATATTTATAAGAATTATATAAACTGAATTACAAAGTTAAAATTATTCATTTAAAGTGTAATATTCAAAATAAAAAAACATTTGGAAAAAAATTGAAATGAAATTTTTCAACAACAGCAGAAAGTTTTTTGAATCATTCAAATCGGATGCTTGTTACTCTCAAAAACTGCCATTTTTTGTATATTTAGCTTTGTATCTTCAAAATGGCTGGGCCTGCCTTTGCCAAAAACTAAAAGTCATTTTCCCCAATCATTGCTAATTGAATGTTTTTTAGATCATTCAAATCGGATGCTCTCAAAAACTCTGTTCCTATTTTCTGCACTCTTTGCTCTTTCTCCATAACAGCTGAACCTCTCTTTGTCAAAAACTAATCAGCACATCTCCCTATCAATAAGAATCGAATGTTTTTTTAACAATTGAAATCGGTAAATCCGTGCGCCCGAAAACGTTCAGAAACCTTCAAAACGTCGATAAACGAAAACGCAAAAATTTTCAATTACGATTTTTGGCGACTACCCTACGGGAAGTTAAAAATATATGAACTTAAATTGAACGACGACATTTATATATGTTCACATGAGAAGTAAATTAAGCGATTATACAATGAAAGGCCTTATCTCATATTTCTAAAAATTTCTAAACTTAATTGCAAAGTTAAAATTGATTCAAATCGTACGTTTTCTCAAAAACTGTTTTTTTGCACTTTTGCACCTTAAGGAAAATTTCTTGGCAAATGGATCAACCGATTTGAATGATTGAAAAAACATTAGATTTCTGTATTGATAGGGAGATGTGCTAATTAGTTTTTAGCAAAGGCGGGACCATCCGTTTCGAAAATACGGAGCAAAGAGTGCAGAAAATAGAAATCGAGTTTTGAGAGAATGGAGTGTCCGATTTGAATGATCCAAAAAACATTCAATTTGTAATGATTGGGAAAAGCGGTGATTAGTCTTTGGCAAAGGCAGGTTCCGCCATTTGGAAGATACAGAGCTAAATGTACAAAAAATGACAGTTTTTGAGAGAACTAAGCATCCGATTTGAATGATTCTGCTTCTGTTGACGAAACAATTGCATTCGAATAAAAAAAATAATTTCAAAATTTTTTTTCCAAAAAAAATTTTTGTTGTATATCGAAAATAATTCAGATTTTAGTTTTAATTCTGACTAAAGTTTTAAAGCTCATCTTAATACTTTAATAATCTATTATTCTAATATATTGAAAACATTTGGTATTACGATGCGGGAAGTACCAGCAATTTGCTTTAAGGCACAATACTATACACCACTATTTTGCGATAAATATCATGTCTTCTAGAACATACTAAAACATTACTGTCCTAGGACAAATTGTTTAATTTTAAAAATTCATCCAAGTTTTAAAAAATTATAACGTTTGTAAGACGATTAAACTTTTCATCGGCGTTTTCTCAAAAACGGTTGAGTCGATTTCAAAAATTTAAAAACCATTCGATGAAACTTGATAGGCACTCGCATTAGTTAGATTTTTGAAACGATCGGCTCAGCCGTTTTTTTATTATTAGCAAAAAAGTGGAAACATTTTTGTCCATGTTTTAGCCAAAAAAATCTGAATAGATTTTAAAAATTCAAAAACTATTTGAAATTTTGGACAAAGATGGGCCGAGCCGTTTCTTCATATTTGACTGCTGAAAAAAAATTTTTATGAAACTTTTTATTTTGATAGATATTATGATCCTGAAGAATATACTAAAATTTTCCGGCCCTACGGCATGTAGTTTAATTTTAAAAATTCGTGAATTTCAAAAGTCTAAATTTGTGTAAAAAGTTGCTTTTGTATAATGTGATGAGTAGAACATTGTCAATTCATTAAAAGTTGGAATAATAAGCTACAATTTTAGGACATGTTACAGAAAATTTTAATGTATCTTATGGTAACTGCACCATCTAGAATTTTCTGTTACCATAAAACATTATTCCTCGCTTATATATGTAAAATACGCCTGATCGTACGGCAAGTAATCAGACATTTTCATAATTTTCAATACCAAGAAAAGCATAAGAGAGCGTTGCCATGATACTAAATAAATAGCCGAAACTAAATTCATAAATGAATACTTTTGTCACAAAACAATACTTTTTTTTAATTAATGAGTATCTTCTTTATGATATAAATTAACCGATACTAAATTCATAAATGAATACTTCTGTCACAAAACAATCCTTTTTTTTAATTAATGAGTATTTTTCTTTATGATATAAATTAGCCGAAACTAAATTTATAAATAAATACTTTTGTCACAAAACAAAACTATTTTTTAATTAATGAGTATTTTTCTTTATGATATAAATTAGCCTATACTAAATTCATAAATACTTTTGTCACAAAACAATACTATTCTTTAATTAATGAGTATTTTTCTTTGTGATATAAATTAGCCGATACTGAATTCATAAATGAATACTTTTGTCACAAAACAATCCTATTTTTTAATTAATGAGTATTTTTCTTTATGATATAAATTAACCGATACTAAATTCGTAAATGAATACTTTTGTCACAAAACAATAATTGTCACAAACAATAATTTTTCGATACTAATTGCAAATTCGATTTATATAACAAAGAAAAATGCTCATTAATTAAAAAATAGTATCGTTTTGTGACGAAAGTATTCATTTGCAATTAGTATAGAAAAATTATTGTTCTATTGATTTCAAAAGTCATTTGATGTAATTAGAAAACGACTACAGCCTGTCAGTTTTGTGCAACAATCGGCCAAATGTACGAAAAGCGTACAAATTTTCGTACAAAAAGAGTACACGTTTCAGCCAAAAATCCTGCATCGTTTCTAATAATTCAGAAACTGTTTGAAAGATATCATTTGGAAATCTTGCTGATTAGTTAAGAGATCGGCCAGATCATTTCTTCATATTTAATTGTTAAATATTTTTTAAGATGATATTTATGAAACCTTTTTGGCGATAGAGATCATGATCGCAAACATAACTACGAGGTCTGTTCAAAAAGTACCCGGAATTTTCGTTTTTTCAAAAAAATATTTATTTATTCGTCTACATTAATGTGGTCCCCTTCAAAGTAGTCCCCCCCAGATATAATACACTTATGCCAGCGTTTTTTCCAATTTTCGAAGCACCCTTGATATTCACTTTTTGATATGTCCTTGAGCACTCTCAGCGATTTTCTTCAATCGAGGAAAACCGCCGTCCTTTCATGGGTCTCTTCAACTTTGGGAATAGGAAAAAGTCACACGGAGCCATATCTGGTGAATTTTTGCACTTTGCAACACTTTATTTCATTTTTTACGCAAAATTTAATACAAATTCTTTGACTTTTCAATTCTTCCATTGTAAAAATCGCCGAGCTCAGAAAAACACGTCGAACCTTAGCGACTACCACAGACAAAGTAAACAGTGAATATAGCTGAAAATTTCATCATACTTTAGGGGCATGTATACCAACACAATAAAAAAAAAATTTTGACAATCAGACACTCCAGACCCGCGAAATTTAATTATTAGTAATTCCGGGTACTTTTTGAACACACCTCGTAAATATTTCGACCTTACGTCAAGTCGTTTTAATTTTCTTTGAAAAAATTAGCAGCACTTTTTTGCGTGGTCAACATTTTCTTAATTTAAACCATTTCTAAAAAATAACTAACATGTATAGAAAATTTGTACAAAATTGAATAATCTGCGATAGTTTTTTTACATTGCAATAACATATTTTTTATAGTTAAGTTGATTTAGTTTGGTTGCCTCTTAATCCAGCGGTCTTTCAATTTGGCCGTCTTTTAGTTCAGTGGACTTTCAATGCGACCGCTTTTTATTACGGCTACTTTTTGGTATGGCCGATTTTTGTGTGTGGCCGCTTTTAAAATTGTTCTTTTTTTATTTGGCCGCCTCTCGGCTCTGCACGCTGGCCAGACACGGTCCTGTATTGAATGTTTCTTAGATCATTCAAATCGGATACTCAGTACTCTCAAAAACTCGATTTGTATTTTCTGCACTCTGCTCCGTATCTCCGTAACGACTGGGCCTGCCTTTGCCAAAAAAATAATAAGCACATCTTTCTATCAATAGGAATAATAGAATGTTTTTGGAGCCCCGAAAACGTGAACAATTTTTTTAAAAGAATATTAACATTTTTTAAACAATTTTACTTTAAAAAAAATAGATTTTTGAGAAACTATAAATTTTTGACAAAAATATTATTTGTTTGGAAAAAAAAACTTTTTGAAAAAAAAAATGTTTTCTTTATTTTGAAATATTTGGAAGTTCTGAACTTTTTTTCGAAGCAATCGTACACTGCTTGAACTGCATAGAGACGAAATATGGAAGCGTCGCCGTCTAACGGATAAACTTTGGTACGGAACATAAGAATGTAAACAAAATTTATACTTATTGTTAAAATCTCTATAAAACATCTGATAATTTGATGTGCATATGTCTAACGATCATTTTTGACCGCCAGATGGCATTTTTTTAACTTTTTTTGCTAGATCTCCGAAACCGCTAAACCTGCCTTAATGAAAATTCGATCAATTCTTTATCTTGTCAATATAAGTAAAATGTTTTTTGAATTATTAAAATCTGACGCTCCGTTCTCTTAAAAACTGAGTTACCGTTTGTGGCACTTTTTGCCTTGTATCTTCGAAACGGCTAGACCTGCCTATGCCAAAAACTAATCAGCACGTCTCCTTATCGTTTTTTGAATAATTGAAATCGGTGGAACCGTATTCTCGAAATCATCGACGAAAATTTGTATCCGCATACACACACATACATACACACACACACACACACACACATACATCAATTTTTTCTAAGGTAGGCCAAAATGTTCATAAACCTCTCAAACGTAAAGTTATATAAAAATTTTCATTTTCGATACACGGATCAACTGATTTGAATAATTCGAAAAACATTCGATTCGAATTGATAAGGAGACGTGCTGATTCATTTTTGGCTTAGGCAGGCCTAGCCGTTTCGAAGGTACGGGGCAAAAAGAACCAAAAATAGTAGTTCAGTTCTTGGGAAAACGGATCATCCGATTAAAAATTAATTCAAAAAACATTTTACTTGAGTAGACGGTGTGCAAAAAAGGCTTTTACAGAAAATTACGTAATTTTGAAAATTTTTCAAAAAAAAATCTGAATTTTCAAAAAAATCAAATTTTCGAAATCTTTCATCATTTTCAAAAAAAAAAAAAAATAATGAGAAAAACCAAATTTTGAAAAATTTAAAAAAATACCAAAATTAAAAAAAAAAGGTTTCTTACAAAAATTTGAAAATATTTTGAAATTTTCAAAAAAATCGAATGTTTCCAAAATTTTCGAAATTTTCAAAAAGTAAAGAAAAATTTTTTTTTTTTTAAAAAAAAAATCCAAAAATTTAAAACTTCTAAAAAAAAATTTCTAAATTAATAAAAAAATCAAATTAAAAAAAAAAAAACAAATGTATTGTAAACATGCATATAAGTTGTCTGTAGAACACTCTCGTCGCCTTATTTAAAAAACACTTATAATATTACAGTATGTATTTTGATATTTATAATAAATAATCTATTTGAAATTATTCAAAACTAATATTGATTATTTTCATTTTTTGAATGTTTAATTACGGTACGGCAAGTACCAGCAATTTGCCTTATGGCATTACGCCATGCGCCCTAGTTTAAAAGCATCGATTTAATCAATTTTTACAAACTTAAAACTGTTGTTTATATATTCGAATTACGCGCCATAAACACACTCTTTAGTGTCTACAACTTCACGAAATCATTATAAACATTACTCTTCTTTTATCTATGATTTATTAATAATTATTTAAAAACATCGATTTAATCTAGTGATTAAATCGATTAAAATTTTTATTTATAAATTTGAATTCGAAAATTGTTGTTTATAAATTCGAATTACGCGCCATCAACAAACTCTCGACATATACTGTCTACAACTTCACGTTCGTTTTCGGTTTCATGTTTCAACTCTCAACATTCATTTTGAAGTTCCACAGCATGCGTCAATTTATAAAATAACTTCATTTAAACACATGTTAATTAACATAAATCAATTCTAAGTTGTGCAAGTGATTTATAAAAATGGCAGATCCCTCTTTACTAAATGAAGTCAAATCCGAAATAAGATGTTTGCTTATATCGACTTCTTCGCAGATGACGGTTGGAGATTTATGTAAGGATTATAGAGAAATCACCGGTAATTCTATTCCTTATTCCAAATTGGGGTTTAGAACGACGATCGAATTTTTAAAATCCGTTCCAGATGTTGTACAGGTAAAAAGAATTTTGTAAAATCAATTGTGTTTGGTGGTATAACCTCACACTTTGACTAGACACTTGTTGATTCAACATTTCTATAATTACAGTAGAAACTCGATTAACCGGATTAATTGTTACCAATAAGCTTTTGGATAATAAAATAAATATTTATTAAAAATAACAAATACATAGATGTTAACGAAAATCAATGTTTATTAAGAAATCAACAATTACTTATTGTTTTATTGGCAGCAACGTTTTCAAAACAAGTATTTTAGGCAGGCTGGATTTTTGGTATGTGGTCCTTGGTGCTCTCTCGGTTAGAGTATAGCCATCTGGCAGCTGGAAGTGGTTGTGTTCATTAGTTTCCAGCCAAATTGTACAACACGATTTAAAAATTTTGAAAGCATTTCAGTCAGTCCAATTTTCATTTTTTTAACTGGAATAGCTTCACCAGACTCACATATTTTGTTGCCAGACATTTTGGGCGCTGCTAAGTAGGTGCTAATTAATTTATTGATTTTTTAAAGATTTCAAATCATTTTAGTATGTCTGTAATTTTAATATTATGTTTATTAAGGGTCAAGAAACATAAAATTAATATGCCAGACGTTTCTGTGGTTGTTAAACATGTCTGGCAATCAAAAATGTGTGGCAATATAATACTAGTCGACAGACTGAGACAATTACCAAATACATTGGTGTGAATGAAACAAAAAACTATTATACTCGTAAGAGCACGTTACATGTACTAGCTAGAAAACCATAAGAAAAATCAAGTGACTATGTTAGACAGATAGGTTTATTATAAAACTTCTCTACAAAATTGTGTTTATACCATTTTTCATTAGAATCACTGTTCCTGACAAATTGCCATCTGAAAAGTTAAAAAATCCATATTCCTTATATGCAGCTTTTATACATTATCGAAGGTGTATTATGAGTGAAAAATACAAATCTATTGATTTGTGTTTATAGATGAGTTTAATGAGTTTTTTTTGAAATTTCACATTGTAGTGTCAGGTTTTAATTAACTTCTTTCTGGAGCAATATCTGCCAGATTTATTGTCCTAGTGTGCGAGGGTCGCATACCTGATTGTTTTGAAGGAATTAAACAAAAATTTATGTATAAATGATTGCGAGGCATGTTATAACCTTCCAAAGTGTTTTAACATTTTTATCATCATATTGAATAAAGATTATTAAGAACAGAAGTTTTATCTTTCAAAACAAATTGGATGCACACGTCAATCCGGAAATGCAAATAGTACATACAGCCGAAAAATTAAAACGCCTGAAAAGAAAATGGCCCAGCGATCTACCGTCAACAACATAATTTCCCTGTTTCGCACAGGAAAATTTTCATACAAGTTATTTTTAAATATTATTTATTATTGATTATCGTTTTTTTTATTAATACTATTATTTTAATTATTATTTATTCATTCATTTATTCTATTTCTTTCTTTAATTTCCTTATTCTATTTTTTTTTTTTTCTTTTTGATTTTGATTTTCAATACCATAACTTTAACTTATAGATTGTATTGTAATCTGATTGTTAAATTAACAGAAATAAAAAAAAAAAAAAAAATTGAATAAATGTGCCAGTTTTTAGTACCAACATATGAGATGGAGGATAAACTGTAGGTACATTACTACATTATTGTATCATTAAGTCATAAGATGAATAAATCTGTATTATAGATGTTTTGATCCGTTGATAAAAAAAAAATCGATAATCTCAATTGTAATCATGATTTAAGAGAATTGTGACTCCTAATGAACGTAATATTAAAAATACAGATGTACTAAAATGATTTGAATTAAAAAAAATTAATCAATAAATTTGCGTCTGGAGTATATTTAGCAGCGCCTAAAATGTCTGACAGCTAAAAATGTGAGTCTGGTGAACAAAAAAAATGAAAATTGGACTAACTAAAATCCTATAAACTAGTATCATATAGCCAGACATTTTTGATTGCCAAACATGTTTAAGAACCGCAGAAATTCTGGCAAATTAATTTTGTGTTTTTACCCTTAACGAACATAATATTAAAATTCCAGACAGACTGAAATGATTTGAATTTTTAAAAAAATTAAAAAATTAGTGTCTGGCACATATTTAGCAGCGCACAAAATGCCTGACAACAAAAAATGTGAGCCTGGTGAACTTATTTAAAGCCAAAAATATGAAAATTCGACTGACTGAAATGCATTCAAAATTTTGAAATCGCACTTACAAGTTGGCTCTGCACTAATATACGCAACCACTTCCAGCTGCCAGATAGCCTAGACTTTTAACCAAAAGAGCACCAAGGACCACATACCAAAAAATCAACCTGCCTAAAGTTCTTTCTCGAAAACGTTGCTAACTTCCGTACCAGTAAGCTTGATTTTTAAGTTTGATTTGTTTTAGCTTGCTTGATTTTTGAGTGTGATTTGTTTTGACTTGCTAGATTTGAGTGATATTTTAGCTTGCTAGATTATCAAATCACATGACCAAATACTGCCTCCCCTTTGGTTAGAACGAACAAATCCATCTACAAAAATAGCACACGCTCTAACTTTTCAATCATAGTCCAGTCATATAGTAAGTTCACCTCGGAATTCGAGACACCCAGCTGTAAGTCTGTAAATACTTGTATATTGAGACCCTAAAGTTGTCTCAGAAGCTACATATGGTATTGACACCCCGCCATATGTAGGTTTTGAGACAACTATAGGGTGTCAATATACAAGTATTTACAGACTTACAGCTTAGTATCTCGAATGCCTAGATTCTTACCTAATTTAATCTTAAATAACTGGACTATCATGTAATTTTGATGAGTTGACAACCAGCCTGCGAGCTAGCAGGTCAAAAAAGCAACGAAACAAGCCTTGTGTGATTTCGACTTTGAATGTGCTCTATTTTTGTGGAAGGATTTGTTTGTTTGACCCAATAGGGAAGCAGTATTTTATCATGTTGTTTATCATATTTGAAAATCTAGCAAGCTAAAACAAATCTCACTCAAAGCAAGCAAGGTTTCTCGCCTCGTGTATGCTTGAAAAACTATTATGAAATTTAGCTCAACAAAATCAAGCATGCTATCTAGCCCAGAGAACAAGCGTCATGTCAACAGACCTTAAATACTAAACGCAATTAATCTAAACTACATAACAAATCATTCATGAAATTGCAAACTGCTATTTATTAATATTACATTTCAAAGATGAATTTATCTTGACAAAAAACTAATTTTGTCTGTACTTTATATTTAAGGTATTTGGAAGTGATCCTAGGTTGGCTATAGTATCTCCTATAGTAACAAAAAATTTAGAGAATTTAAATTCATTAGTTATGAGACAAAAAGATTCTAAGAAACGAAAAAGGAAACGAAAGCCTGCTCAAACAAGGTAAGAATAATAACATACTTGCTTCAAAATTGGAACTTCAATGAAGTTTGATAATGTTTTTTTTATTTATTTAGTACCATGAGAGGTTACCGCATGAGTAGACCATTATATAGCCCAAGAACTACAGTCACAAAATCTCCAACAAATAATTATTTTAATAAGTCTATGAACTCAGTAAGTCCAAAAAGGACCAGTCCACTTCTAGCTCGCAGGCTTAATATCAGCAATAAAACTTACAATAGTTCTATGCGAACAGTTTCAAATAATAATAATATTCTAAATTCTTCTAATACATCTATGAGTGATCACAAATCAAAGACAATAAGTCGACAACAAACTCAGGATCGTAATATGGTCAGTTCTAGTTCTACTGGTTCCGTGAGAACACGTTCAAATAGTAATAATTCTATAAATTCTTTACCATCAATAAAGTCAAGTCCAGAACCAAGTAATAATAGTTATTGTAGTATAAATAACACAAGGGATGTACAAAAGCCAAATGTGACAAAATCTATACATACTGCTAAAAGTGATAATAACATGAGTCAGGAATTAAGTTGTGATTATATTAAAAATGTTTCTCAGACTAGTCCGACAATAAATAACTTGAATAAGCCTAAAGGAATAGAAACACTAAATGATCAAAAATCTGCAGAAATTCAAAACATTGCTAAGTCTCCCAAAGGGTTTTTTGACAGTGAAGATAATGCATCAGGTAATGTTAATATAAATTATGTATGTATGTATGTATATATATATATATATATATATATATTTTATTTGTTATATATATAGATATATATTAAGGTGGTACTCAATATGGACATTTTTGAATTTCCTTACTCCCAAGGGCTCAAATGGTTCCAAATTGATAAAAAACAATTTTCTGAAAGTTTCAGCTCTTAATATTACACTTTTAGATAGTGTGCAATTCAAACTTTGTATGAAAATAGAATGGAAAAAAATTAACAAATTTAACAAACAATTTTTTAGGTATAACTTAGCGACAAATGAATTAAAAATAAATTTTTTTGTCATTTTTTAACTTCCCGTAGGGCAAGTTATAGTAATCGCAAAAAAATCGAAAATGAAAATTTTTGCATTTCTCGACGTTTCAGAGGTTTCTGAATATTTTGGCATACCTTAGAAAAAATGGATGTATGTGTGTGTGTGTGTGTGTGCGTGTGTGTATGTATGTGCGGATACAAATTTTCGTCGACGATTTCGGGAACACCGATCAACCGATTTGAATAATTCAAAAACCATTCGATTCGTATTGATAAGGAGACGTGCTGATTAGTTTTTGGCGAAGTCAGGTCTAGCCGTTCCGAAGATACGGGGCAAAAAGTGCCGAAAACGGTAACTCAGTTTTTAAGAGAACGGAGCGTCCGATTTTAATAATTCAAAAAACATTTTACTTGTATTGACAAGGTGAAGAACCGATCAAATTTTCATAAAGGCAGGTCTAGCGGTTTCGGAGATCTAATGAAAAAAGTAAAAAAAAGAGCCACTTGGCGGTCAAAAATGATCATTAGACATATGCACATCAAATTATCAGATATTTTATAAAGATTTTAACAATAAGTATAATTTTTTTTTTTCATTTCTATGGGTTCCGTACCAATGCTTATCCGTTAGACGTCGACGCGGCAGTTAAAGCAGTACGATTGCATTGAAAAAAAGTTTAGATCTTTCGAAATATGTCAAAATAAAGAAAACATTTTTTTTTTCAAAAAAAAAAATTAAAAAAAATTTTTTTTCCAAAAAAAAGTAATTTTTTGTCTAATTGTTTGTCAAAAATCTTATTTTTTCGAAGTAATTTTTTTTCAAAAATGTTAATCGTTTTTAAAAAAATAATAATTTTTGGTACGGGAAGTTCCAGCAATTTGCCTTAAGGCACGATGCTTTAATTGCCTTAAGACAGAATTCCACTTACAGCTAGTTATTGAAAATTCTGCAAAATTTTTAAATTTGTTTTCAAGCTATGTATATGTATATATATATAATATATAAATCTCGTGTCACGATGTTGGTTCGCGATGGACGCCCAAACTACTGGACCGATTTTAAATTTTAATGGCTCATCGTGTGCATATATATCCAACTTAGGTTATAGGAAATTTTGAAAAGTAAATTTGAAATATAAATATATAATTTTTATAAATTTCTAAAAATTTTGACAGAAAATGACCAAAAAAAAACAACACTAAAATGACAAATGTCAAAATTAAAGGAAATTTGGATATATAATTTTTGAAAAAAAAAAATGACATTTCAAAAAATAAAATTCAAAAACATGTACATATATAGAAATATCCAACATTTATATCCAAATTTGATGAAATGCTACATACAAAATCACTGATTATAGTTTTAAATCTAATTAAAAATCAATGCTTAAAAATTTAAATAAATGTTGACACGAAAAAAAAAATAAATGTCATCTGTCAAAATTTATGAAAATAATTATATAAATAGATTTATGATTTAGATTTAATTGATTAGCTTACCAAATTATTTCGGAAACCAAAACTTCATTAAAACCTTATAGATTAGAGATCACAATAAAAAAGCGGCACTTGAATTTAAAAATAATCATAACCAAAATTTTGACATGTCACAAAAAAAGAATGTTTAACGAGTTACTTCAATAAGACGCAAATAAATTAATTATTACAAGTTATGTTACAGAAAATATTGCCTAACAAATTATAGATACAAAACAATATAGTAAAATAAATATCTTCAAAAAATTTTGACAGAAAATGGCCAAAAAAAAAACAAAACACTAAAATGACAAATGCCATAATTTATGGAAAATTTGAGAAAAAAAGATTTATGATTTTTGAAAAACAAAAATTGACAGTTCAGAAAATATAATTCAAAAACATGTACATATATAGATATATCCAACATTTATATCCAAATTAGATGAAATGCTATATTCAAAATTACAATTTATAGTTTTAAATCTAATTAAAAGTCAATGTTTATAAATTTGAATAAATGTTGACATGAAAATCGTCAAATGTCATTTGTCAAAATTTATGAAAATAATTATATAAATAGATTTACAATTTATATTTATTTGATTAGCTTACCAAATTATTTCGGATACCAAAACTTCATCAAAACCTTATAGATCAGAGATCACAATAAAAAAGCGACATATTGAATTTAAAATTAATCATAAACAAAAATTTGACATTTTACAAAAAAAATGTTTAACGACTTCAATAAGAAACAAATAAATTAATTATTGCAAGTTATATTGCCGAAGAAATTATAGATACAGCACAATATTGTAAAATAAATATCATAGATTAATTTTCGACCAAAAAGGAAATATTTTGACATTTACAAATATACTGCATATTGAATATATGAAATTGACATTCACTATTTTTCAATTAAATGAAAATGTAAAAAATCAAATATTTATATAAAAAATTGTATATTCAGATGAAGATACTGATTTGTTAATTTAGACTGAAACCTGATTTATTCATTAATTTAAAAAAAAAATGGCATAAACAAAATTAAAATAAACAAAACACCTGCATCATGCGTTGGAATTAATTATCGAAGTGTAAAGAAATTTGTGTAATTAAAATAAAATATTATTATTATATAAGTTGAAATAAATTTTGATTGCCATCGCAAACGTTAATCATACAGAAAATTGTAACCTCTTAAATGGAATAGTACAATCTGAAGGTATCATTGCAATCTGACAAAAATAAACTAGACAAACTAAATACTATATCATATTATATTAAATTTCGATCCAAAAGAAAATATTTCGACAGTTATAATTAATTTGAAATGAAATGCAAATGTCAAAAATCAGATCTTTATGTAAAAAAATATTTATTTCCACAATATTCCCGTGTTGAATTTGCACTTTTTTATGAATTTAACAAGCATATAATATATTCATTGATCACTTAAAATAATTATTAATTTATAATAAATAAATATTGACGTATTTGACATGACAAAAGTATAATAAACAAAACGCTATGATGCGAGTGAATTAATTTTTGAAGTATGAAATGTCAAATAATTTTGAAAATTATAACAAGTTTTTAACTATTTGTCAGAAAGAATATATTTTATTACAAATTCATACCCATATCAAGCACCAAAGTAATAAATACTATTTATAAAATGACATATTATTTATAGACAATATGATTTTAATGCATATTTTAATTATATGTTTTATATAAATATCAAATAAAAATATTTATGTTTCACTTGATTTTAATGAAAATAATTCAATGCCAAAATAAAAAGTATACATCTAAAATTATAGTCTAAATATTACAATTTTGATAAATAATCATCCATTATTTTACAGTACAAAAATTGATAAAAAATTAATAAAAGTGCCAAAAATCAAACATTTTATAGATTTGGACTCGGATTTCTCAGAACTTTATCCATGTTAGTTTCAGGGATAGTATGAATATCAATTTGCAGTCGAAAATTTATATGATAAGTGATTAAAACATTATAGATCACAATAAAAAAGCGACATATTGAATTTAACATTAATCATAAACAAAATTCTGACAGTTCAAAAAAAAATGAATTTTTAACGACTTCAATAAGATACAAATAAATTAATTATTCCAAGTTATGTTATAGGCAATATTGGCAATCAAATTATAGATATAAATTATATCATATTATATTAAATTTCGAACCAAAAAGGAAATATTTTGGCATTTAAAAATTTAGTGCATATTGGATATTTGAAATTGACATTCAATATTTTTAAATTAAATGCGAAAGTAAAAAATCTGATATTTATATAAAAATTATATATTTAGATAATGGTACTGCGATGATTCAGACTAAAATCTAATTTATTCATTGATTAAAAATATTTCACTATTTGACATAAATAAAATTAAAATAAACAAAGCATTATGATGCGTTCGAATTAATTATCAAAATGTAAAGAAATTCGTGTAATAAAAATGTAACATTATTATTAATATATCATGTATATTATAAGAACTTTTGCAATTCGGAAAAATATTTTTGATGGCAAAACAGCGTTTGCCGGGTCGGCTAATATATATATATATATATATATATATACATATACATATACATATACCATTTGAGCCCTTATATACATATCTTATATGTAAAAATGGAGCTCTCGATCAAATGATTCGCTAAAACTCGAAAACGGCTAAACCAATTTGGTCAGAGCTAGTCTTGAAAAATTTGTGCCAATCAGTAGATTGTCGGAAATGTGAGGTGGTGCGATATTATATCAAAATCGCGTAGAAACTTTACATTTTTATTTTGAACATTTTTGTAGAAGCGTAATTTGAATAAAACAATGGAAGGTGGCTAATACGTGAAATGTCAAACTTTTTCACAGATGATGTTCAATTACATTTAATAGGATGTTTTACGTGAATATTATTTAATTATGATTAAATTTTAGTAAGTAGTTTTGTTTGTAGTTTTATTTATATACAAAAACGTTATTAAACGGATCGCAAGTGTTTCTAGAAACTCAAAATATGAACTTTTTTGAAATGGTAATATGAAAATGCACTTTTTGGCCTATTTTTCTCAAAGACGGTGCTCTGAAAAATTTCATTTGTATAATTATATACTCATTGGTATTTATAAAACATTTTCTAGGTTACATTATTTTTTATGTTATTTAAATTCAGAACGTAAATTTGGAATCAATAAAGGGGACAATTTGTTGAATAACATTTTTCCAGTTTTAATTTTCCAGAATTTATTGAAAAATAGATAGTAATATATGAAGGTCCTTGGTTAAAAAGGTCCACCAGCAATGTGTCAAAAACCAGTAAATTTAAGCATTGTTTAACAATAATATTTGAAAATAGAGGGAAAAAGATGTATAACCAGCTATAACCTTGATTCTTATGACTTTGCTATTGGGAGATAAACGGTAATCTTTGAAAATCCATAATAAAAGTATTTTCTTCCGTTGGTAGTTTTTTAGCATTAGTTAAAAATGTAATTATTTTGTAAAATACTTTTAAAATTAAAATAAGACTTTAAACCTGTTTGCCACCTGGCCGTTCTAAGTTAAAAAGCACATTTCTACGATACGATAATTGTTTGTTTGAAATGTGTTATTTGTTGTGATATAATTGAATTGGTTTTCACAATATAGTTTATATTTGTTCATAGTCAAATTGGACCTTTGTGCCTCGCCCTGCTCTACATACATACATTTTATTAAATTTACTTTAATTCATCGAATGCTACTTGAAACTGTTCAAAAAGCAGGTCAAAGAAGAAATACTTAATTCATTTTCTATCTCTCCTCACAGAAATTTGAAAATTTTATATAAGCTCAGTAGTATTATTTACAATTATAACACAAAATCCAGATTTCAAAAGGAATCTGAAAAACTTGAAACGTAATCAATAAGTCGAAAGACCAAAAAAGACTTGGATTGAATGAATTATACCATGTTTTCTATAGAAAGTGTATAAAACTTCCAGTTTGATTGTATTGACAAAATATAGACAGTCTAATGGGGTTTATTGTTTTTTTAATACCTCATTGTAAAAGGCATTCAAACAACACGTCCTTATACACTTAAAGTATTAATATTTTTGATTCTCTAGAAATTGGTTAGAATAGCAAACTTAGCAAAACAACGTTTATCTAGTCTGATATAATTTTAGTTCAGATTTTTGAGCTTGAAGAAAAAGCTTAATTTTTTTCTTTAACACCCTTTATTATTATTAAGGGTTGTTCAATCCTATTACTATTTTTAATTTTGGGGTAAACTTTTTTCATTTTAATTTTTTCAATGCCGAATTGACAAAATATACGCAACGCTTTTTACTTCAAAATACTATTTATTTTTATCATGGTTTTCCACCCCTAACATTTTTTATAATTTTTTTTGCTTAATTTTCTTTTAATTTATTTACAATTTGAAATTGAAAAATGCATAGAACTCTCTTTACTTATAATTAGAAATACTATTTGTTTTTATCAAAGGTTATCCACCCCTATTTTCTTAAATTCTGGAATCAATTTTTTTAGTTTTAATTTTACCTTAATTTGGCATAATATTAGTTAAGATTTTTTTGAGTATATGAAAGTGGTTAAATGATACCTCAAAAAACAATAAATTTTTATTAAGGGTTGTCTAACCCTACGACATTTTTTCAATTATGAGCAATTTTTTTATTGTAATTTTTTTAATTTGGAATTGAAAAATACACACAATTCTTTTTACTTGGAAGCACTATTATTTTTATCAAGGGTTGTCCACCCTCCAATTTTGCGGCCAATGTTCATTATTTTGATTTTCTATAATTCTAAATTGAAAAATACGTGGAATTCTATTTTCTTCGAAAAACTATTTATTTTTATCAAGAGTTGCCCACCTCGATTTTTTTAAATTTTGGAATAAATCTTCTTTTAAATTTAATGTTCATAATGCGAAATTAAAAAATGCACACAACTCTAAATTTTCACTCTCTTCCTTAAAACTCTTTTTAATAATATCCATTTTAGTAATCGAATAATTTTTCATCACGCTTTCAGTCATATTTTTCTGGTCTTATGACAAAGCATTAATTTTACTTAAAAAAATATTTTTATCAAGGGTTGTTTGCTACTCCCATTTTCCCATTGTACAAATATTTCCTGATGCGCACAAACAGTACATAGTTGATAAATGGTTTGCATAAAGAGCAATTTTTGCAAAGAAATAGAGGTTGAATATTAAAATCTGAAGATACAACCGTTTTTGATAGAGAACTATATGTACCATACAAATCTATGGCCAAGCTGTAAAAACTTTTATTATCTCATTTTTTTCCAATCTCAGTCAATTCGCTGGGCATTCCACATAACAATATAATTAACTTTCTGTAGAGTAAGTTATTGTAATCGTCCAAAAATCGAAATTATGCATTGTATCGTAAACATTTTTTTTACGTTTTGAAGGTTTCTGAACATTTTGGCATACCTCAGAAAAAATGTGTGTGTGTGTATATGTATGTATGTGTGGATACAATTTTTCGTCCACGTTTTCGGGCGCACGTATCAACCGATTTGAATGGTTCAAAAAACATTCAAATTTTATTGATAGGGATATGTGCTGATTAGTTTTTGGCAAGGGCAGGTCCAGCCGTTTCGGAGATACGGAGCAAAAAATGCAGAAAATAGAAATCGAGTTTATGAGAGATCACAGCATCGGATTTGAGTGATCCAAAAAACATTCAATTCGTAATGACGGGGAGAAGTGGTGACTAGTTTTTGACAAAGGCAGGTCGAGCGATTTCGGAAATATAGAGCTAAATGTGCAAAAAATGTCAGTTTTTAACAAAATAATTGCTTTTTGAAAAAAAAAATTGTTTCAATTTTTTTTTCATTTTTTTTTTTTGTATATCGAAGATAATTCAGATTTTAATTGTAATTCTGACTTAAGTTTTAATATACTTTAAACAAATATTTTCAACTTTGCAGTTCAGTTAATATAATTCTTATAAATATTAGACAATGTTTATGTTACGGTATTTATTTATAATAATCTATTTGAAAACATTTAATATTCCTCGATCATTTCATTATGGTACGCGAAGTTACAGCAATTTACCTCAAGGCACGATTCCATACACAACTAGTTTTTAATTTCGAAGCCGCTGGACCTGCCTTCCTAAAAATATAATCATTTTATTTCATTACATCGTCAACGCCAGCAATTATTCTAATCGGATGATCTGTTCTCTCAAAAACTGTATGATCATTTTTTGCACCCTGTGCAAGGGTTCCTCCGACACGGCTAGACCTGCCTTTGCCAAAAAACCAATCGGCACACACGCACTACCATCCACTTTTTTCTAAGGTCTGTCAAAATGTTTAGAAACGTAAAAAAATCATTTTAAATTTAGAATAATGCTGAACTTATATAGAGGCACTTGTTGATTTCTAGTGAAAGTGAAAAGTTTATTTTCTAAATAAACAGTTGAAATTACCTAAATAACTAAATCTCAATTGTTATTGATACTAATGGACAACACAATTGATAAAAGCCACTTACGTCTAGTCGAATTTTTGTGTATTGTCAACATTGTCATTATTTTTTAAGTTTTAAATATAGTTATTATTCGCAATTTTTAGCCGTTAATAATTACAACTTACATTTCTTTTCTCTTTTCAGACAAATCTAGTTCTGTACAGCACCCAGATCTATCCCACCACATTTCGGACAAGATCAGGAACAATTTGAAGACTTTGATCAAAAATTTTCCGAAAGGCGTTTCATTGACATCTATAGATTCACATTATGAAAATAACTTCGGGGAAAAATTATCCTACAACGAGTTGGGATTTCCGAATGCCTTAGAATTCTTTTTACAGCTATCGGACATTTTTTGGTTAGAGAGGATATCTGAATTTGGTGAATTTATTTTATTCGATCAGTCGCTCAAGATACCTGAGGATTTAATAAAAAATCTAAAGGTACAAGAGAAGGGTGTAGAAAAGGATATTGAAGATGTTTCAGCTGTATGTAAGGATGAAACTTTTAAAAAGATAATGGTGAGTAATTGATTGTAAATTTTTATATGTAAGCACCCATAACTTGCTTGGTGTAGATTTGAAATGGATTTTTCCCAGAGGGAAAGTTTGTTTTCACGAAATATTCCGATTTGCTTGTTTCATGTTTCTTCAACCTTACAAATCATTCATCATTTGAGATCAAATGTATATGTGCGCACTAGGGTTTATACAAAAACCGACATTTCAGAAAACCGGTTTTCGAATTTTAATTTTACCAAAAAACCGGTTTTAACCGGTTTTAGCCGGTTTTTTTTATTAAATTTTATTTTTATTAAATGTTATTTAAATTTTTGCTCGAATATTCTGTAATTTATCCGCAAATTTAGTGTTAGAGCAGTATTTTTCTGTATTTATTTATTGTTCAATTTTATAGATAGTAAACAAAATTATTTTAATTTTAAAACTAAAAAATAATAGTTTATCTTAATTAAATAATTTTTAAAATAATTATTCGTTATTGATGCATCAGTTCCACATATAAGAATGAAAATATTTTTATGATAGTGGAAGAGAAGTATTCGAATAAATAAAAATAATACATTTTTAATACATACTTGTTAATATCAATTTTAGTTTTAAAAACAATTAAGCTAACCTCGGGTATTGTCTGTTCCGAACAATTGTAATTAATTAATTTTAAACATTCTAATTGTTTTTTTGTTTAATAAAATATGATTTCAAAAAACTGAGAACGTCTATCAAATTGCTACTTAGACATGTCCTTTGATTACTCACAAAATTTTCTGAAATAGAAAATACGCTCATACTTGCAACCAAATTATGATTAATTGTTTTTAAAGCCTGATATAATAATTCTAAGTTTTTTGTTTTTTAATTTGTGACTTCTAGGGTTTAAAACTCTTTTTCTTTAAGATTGAGTAGAGAAAGTTACTTCTTCAAGAAGAAGTTACACTGATTTAAATTAATATATACACTGGTATAAAAATCTAAATTAATATATACAAAACCTTTCTGGGAACCATTGCAGAGTGATAAGATATGAAATGCTATTGAACCAATATGGTTTCAAGAATCAAGACGCCGTCATCTATCTTTTATATTTGGCTATATTTGTCATTTTCCATTTATATAGTGAAAACCGACTTATTTAACTAAAAAACCGGTTTTCGAATTCCATAATTTTCGCAAAAAAAACGGTTTTTGAAAATCGACCAACCCTAGTGCGCACGTGTATGTAAGCCGATTTTTGATTTTTCCTCGACTTTTTCTTAGAAACAGCAGAACCGATTTCAAAAATTCAAAAGCAATTCGATGTATCCCGATCAGGCTAGCGTTTATCAGGTTTGCGCCGCGATCGGTCTAGCCATTTCTTTGTAATCAGCAAAAAATTTAAACATTTTCGTCCACAATTATGAACCGATTTAAAAAATTCAAAAACCGTTTGAAAGGGTTAGTTTTTAGTGAAGATCGACAGGGTCGTTTTTCTTGTATTTAACTATTGGAGAAAAAAATCGTTAATTTTTATGAAACTTTTTTTGAATATATATATAATTATCTTATAGAACATACTAAAATATTACGGCCCTAGGACAAGTATTTCAAAGTTCTAAAAAATGATTAGCGCTTTTTTGACGTTTGTTAAAATTGGACGTTTTACTTGTACTCCAGTCAATAGAGCATTTTGAGTCTGATTTTTTTTACTATGCTCTGATTTCGCGACCACCCCCCGGGGGGATGACACCCGTTCTCAGTAGTGTAATTTTATTTGTTAACTTCCCGTAGGGTATGTTATTGTAATAGCCCAAAAATGTGAATTGAAAATTTTTACATTTCTCGACGTTTTGAAGGTTTCTGAACATTTTGGCATACCTCAGAAAAAATGGATGCGTGTGTGTGTATGTTAATTTTAGCAACTTTAAAAAACCTCTTTGGAAAGCAATAAACATTCAGTTTAATGACGGTCAAGATATATTATCTTCGACACTTGTAGAGAAACATCCCTTCGGAGCGATGGGATTAAAAGTTTAAATGGTTCCGAGAAACTCAAACCCATGTGTTTGCATATTGAAATTCAAAAATTTCAAAACATGAATATTTTGCGTTAAAAAAGAATCGAAATATAATTATTTCAAATAATAATATTTATCAATTTCTATATATTAGTATTTTGCGTAAAAAAGAATCGAAATATAATTATTTCAAATAATAATATTCATCAATTTCTATATACATCAATAATAATATTCATCAATGTCTATATATATATATATATATCGTATTAGTATTTTGCGTAAAAAAGAATCGAAATATAATTATTTCAAATAATAATATTCATCAATTTCTATATACATCAATAATAATATTCATCAATTTCTATATATATATATCGTATTAGTATTTTGCGTAAAAAAGAATCGAAATATAATTATTTCAAATAATAATATTCATCAATTTCTATGTATTAGTATTTTGCGTAAAAAAGAATCGAAATATAATTATTTCAAATAATAATATTCATCAATTTCTATATATTAGTATTTTGCGTAAAAAAGAATCGAAATATAATTATTTCAAATAATAATATTCATCAATTTCTATGTATTAGTATTTTGCGTAAAAAAGAATCGAAATATAATTATATCAAATAATAATATTCATCAATTTCTATATATTAGTATTTTGCATAAAAAAGAATCGAAATATAATTATTTCACATAATAATATTCATCAATTTCTATGTACAGTAGAATCCGATTAGTATGACGCCGGATATATTGACAACCGCTTATAATGACGTAATTTTAAAGGCAGTTTGGTTTCCATATAAAATTTCTTAAAAAAACAGCTGTCTAGTCGGATATGTTGACCTCGCTTACATTGACATTTCGCTTATAATGACCCATTTTTGAAAAAAAAATTGGTCCAGGTATAATGACCGACATGATTTTACACCTCCGATAACATAGAGTTCATGTTTTTCATTGCAAACCCTTGTGTGTCAGGTCGCTACATACCTTCAGGTCTCTATGTTGCACGAGATTCGCGCTATGAAAACTTTGGCAACTTCCGGCATCGTGCCTCGTGCAAAAAATAAGTAGACTCATTCTTGGTGTTCGAAATTTGGAAGCGATAACATCTTCTATAATTTACTGAATTAGTAAAGTTCTATATTTTTTACTATTTTTACCCAGTAATTAAAATTCAAACGAAAATTACAGATTCCTTACATTAAAAAATGCATTGTTATGTCATATTTTTAATTAAATTTGTCAATTTGTTAGTATGTGTCATTTTTTACCGTAATTTTTGTATTAAATTACTGAAATTAATAACATATTCCCCAAAAATCGTTTTTTTTTTTTTTTCAGTACGCTTAGTATGACGACCGCTTAGTATGACGATTTTTCGCCGTCCCTTGAATGTCATACTAAGCGGATTCTACTGTATTAGTATTTTGCGTAAAAAAGAATCAAAATATAGTAAACGCAAAATAATCATACTTTATTTGTTGAATATGTTTTTATAAAACATTTAAGGTATTTTAAAATCCGTTTCATTTTACCTAAGAATAATAAATAAACATTTTTATTTATTAGTGTGGTCATATTCATTTTGGGTTTTTGAGACTGATGACCCTGAGGGATGGTTTTTGGACAATTCTTTGAACAGTTACGACCACCTAGACCTAGAGAGACTATTGTATTGCATTTGCAATGCGTGGTGTTCATAGTTGGTCGGTGAGTGGTGTTCATAGATTACGCTGTCGATTCTTTTTGAGTACTATCGACGAAAAGAATCGATATTGGAAAATAGATCGAGCTAAAAAATCGATAGCAAAAGTACTTACTATCGACCGCAAAGTATCGATATTTACTCAGTACTCGATATTTTGTTCTAACGCTAAGTACGGTACAAAAATTCAAAGGTTACACCAGCGGTTTCCAACCTGTGGGGCGCGCCCCCTCAGTGGGGCGCCAGGCTGCCCTAAGGGGGGCGCGTACAACTGTTTCCAGAATACTATTATCGAAAATAACCCAACATTTATGGAACGTTATTAAAAAATAAACAAAAAATATATTTAGTTTTTATGAATATTTTTACATAATATTGCATATTAATTTGTAGTCTGATAATATCAGTTGAGTATTTATTAAATTAAACAGTTAAAAAAATAAGGGGGGGCGCAGCAATTTTTTTTTATATTCGCAGGGGGGCGCGATGCAAAAAAAGGTTGGAAACCGCTGGGTTACACTCTTTTTTCCTTTCCATTTACTGCAGCATTGTTATGATGTTAGAGTACCTGGGCTTATTGAACATACTAAAACATTATAGTCCTACGGATACTGGTTCAATTATAATAATTGATCGAATTTTGAAAATTTGCTTTCTGAAAATATTCAGGGTTACACACTAATAATGTGTAATAAATCCACTCGGAATACTCATAATTTCATTTATTTATTATTGATTCAGTTGATTTACACATATCAGGAGGTTTATGTAACATTTTTTAAGGCAAAATGCCACTTACAACTAGTTAGATTCATTTTACACATGTAAAATTTTAAAAACTATGAAAATTTGTATTAATTTTGTTTTATAACTGTTTACTTCGTAATAGGGATGGGTCACTCACTCTGGAGTTATTACTTTGTTACAACCTCTGTAAATAACATAATTTATTAATATATTGTAGTTTAATGCTAATAATTTTCTTAACTGCTTATTATTTATTATCTTTCATTCATTTCAGGAAATCTGTAACTCCGAAGAGACATTATCAGGAATGATGGGTCCTGGCGATGTAATTGAAAGTATATGGAATAAATGCAAATTCTCATGTGGTTGTCTAATGAGAATTATTATTACTGAAATTTATGATCCGACAAAGTTTTGGTTTGTCCTTGACGATGAAGATCATTTTCAGTTGATGAATAAGATGATGGATGAAATGCAGTAAGTTTATATATTTTTTCATATTTGTACATTTGTATGTATATACAATTATGTATATTTTATATATATATATATATATATATATATATATATATATTGGGGTGATCCTTAAAATCAGGGGTGGGCAAAAGCCGGCCCGCGGGCCGGATCCGGCCCTTTTGATTATTTTATCCGGCCCGTTGAAAAATTCCGCAAGTTTTTTTAAACGCTTTTATGAAATTTTGTTGACATCAACATTATTAGTGTGCGTACTGTATTTATAATAGTCGTAATAAAATGGGCGGTAGGCTTCTGTGGTTCAATGGTTCTGTAAACCGTTTTCTGAAACAGAATTTGTTAAACAATGTATGGGACAAGCGCCGGAGATCTGTTGTTCTGAAGAGAAACATATTTTTGAAAATGTAAGCCTTTCGAGAAGAACAATAGTACGACGGATTGAAAATAGTTCAGGAAACTTACTTGACCAGCTAACTACAAAAATTGCTAATTTTGCCTATTGTTCTCTGGCTTTAGATGAGTCTTGCGATAATACTGATACAATCCAATTATTAATATTTATTCATGGCATTAACAAGAAATGTGAAATTCGGAGGAACGAAATTGCGAGAAACTTCTTAGTGTGCATCCAATGAAAGGTATACAACTACTGGTGAAGACTTCTTTCTCGCTGTTGAAGAGAGTTTAGTTAAAGTAAGTTTAACTTGGAATAAAATAGTAAGCGTCATTACGGATGGATGTCATAGTTTAATAGGGAAAAATGTAGGCTTACAAATGAATTCGTGACAAAGAAAAAGAGTTACAACCAGAACACGATATATTATTTCCATCCAAAACCTTCGGCCCGGGACACATTTTGAAAATTTCATTTTGGCCCGCGCTTTAAAGTATTTGCCCACCCCTGCTTAAAATGGTCATTTTCGAATTTTCATGCTCCCAGGGGCTCAAATGGTTCCAAATAGATAAACAATTCTCTGAAAGTTTTAGCTCTTAATATCGCTAAGTTCAGATAGAGGGCAATTCAATCAAACTTCGTATGGAAAGAGCATGAAAAAATGTTGAAAATTTAAAAAAAATGTTTTAGGTATAACTTAGCGACAAATGAATAAGTTTTATTCATTCATTTGTTCGCTAAATTACATTTAAAAAACATTTTTAAAATTTTTGAAAATTTTCCCATGCTATTTCCATACAAAACTTTGATTGAATTGCGCTCTATCTAAACTTTAATATTAAACGCTAAAACTTTCAAAGAATTGTTTTTTATCTATTTGGAACCATATAAATATTCATTAGTTTACAGTTAGGGAAATATCGAATAGTGTAAATATTCATTAGTTTACAGTTCACACTTCGATATTTCTCTAAAGAAAACATAAAGTATTATACATCATTAGAAAGGTCCCAAAATTCTTAGATCTTTTTCCTTATCTTGCAACTTCGAATTCCTAACGGTGTGGCCTAAAGGCGAGTTGCAGTAAAATTAAATTAATAAAAACTGAAAAATCTCGAAAAAATTATATGAACACACTTAACGATTTATATATCATTTTATTCGTAATTTTGTTCTGCATCTTTTATCCAAATAAAATGTTTTCGTTTCTTTTACGTTTTAGCCTGTAGTTTGGAATTTGTGTGAATATTCAATTGTTCAAATGCAAAGTACGGTTAATCTGTTGGTTCAGCTAGTTATAAATAGTGCAGTAAACGGAGAGGAAAAAAGGGTGTAACCTCTGAATTTTTTTACTGTGCTCCGAATTGAATGAAATTTTGGAATTAGGTTCATCTTACCCCCAAGTTCAAGATGACACCCCTTCTCAATTGTGTAATCACATTTTTTCAAAATAACGTCGGCAATCGATAGAATAATTATAAGAAAAAAATGTCTTTTATAGTTTTTCAAAAAAACTAATACTTTTCAAGTTACTGGCCACTAAAAATTCATATATTTTTGGCGTTTTTCTTCGTTTTTTGCAAATATCTCCTAAAATATACATTTTAACGAAAATTATGTAATGAACAAAATAATGTCAATAAATAAATCTTGATAAATCGGTATTACATAAAGTGTTCTAGGAAAAATATTAAGCAAGATTTGAAAGAGCAAAGTCGTTTTTTATTTCGTTCAAGATTTAATGTTGTATTTAAAGCCATCTAGTGTCGAGGTTTTACATCTATGAAATTCGGTGCAAAAAACGAAGAAAAACGCCAAAATTATATGAATTTTTAGTGGCCAGTAACTTGAAAAGTATTAGTTTTTTTGAAAAACTATAAAAGATATTTTTTTCTTATAATTAATTATTCTATCGATTGCCGACGTTATTTTGAAAAAATGTGATTACACAATTGAGAAGGGGTGTCATCCCCCCGGGGGTGATGGCGCAACCCGAATTGTTTTCACTTTTGAACTTGGGGGTAAGATGAACCTAATTCCAAAATTTCATTCAATTCGAAGCACAGTAAAAAAATTCAGACCTAAAACGCTCCGTTTACTGCACTAAAATAGACATTGTATCATTGTCTATAGTTATAAGAATTATATAAACTGAATTGCAAAGTTGAAAATATTTGTTTAAAGTATATTAGAATTTAAGTCAGAATTACAGTTTAAATCTTAATTATTTTCAATATACAAATAATTTTTTTTTTTTTGAAAAATCTTTTTTTCCAAAAGCAATTACACCTAAGTCTGTTTTTACACGGAGATTGGTTCCAGAAGAATCCGTGTAAAAAAAAACGTCTAAAAAAAGACATTGATCTTATACAAAAATGGGTGATTTGTTCCTAAACTCTAAAACTTATTAAAATTGGTGAAAAACAAGAATTTTTAAGAACAAGAATTAAATTAGTGCTATTCACATTTGCTTTGACCAGTAAAAATTGTTTGTACGCGCTAAAGGGGAATTCACCTAAATCTTTAAGCTAGTGTTCGCAAACTATCGATACTATCGATGGATTCAGACTTTTTTCTTTCATAAATACTTTTTTGTGATATGAACATACTTCGCAAAAATTTAATTTGACAAAAAAATTTAGGTACATAAAATTTCAAATCGTGCTAAATGGAATAAATTCGTGTAAAAAATTAAGAATATTCAATTTTCAAACTGTGTTATATCAAAACCGTGTACAAAAAGACCGTGTAAAAACAGACTTAGGTGTATTTTGTTAAAACAAGCAGAAAGGTCTTTGAATCACTCAAATCGGACGCTTAGTTCTCTCAAAAACTGCCATTTTTTGCTCATTTAGTTCTGTATATCCAAAACCGCTGAACCTGCCTTTGCCAAAAACTGATCACCACTTCTCCCCGTCATTACGAATTGAATGTTTTTCGGATCATTCAAATCCGCTGCTACGATTTCTCAAAAACTCGATTTCTATTTTCTGCACTCTTTGCTCCGTATCTCTGAAACAACTGGACCTGCCTTTGACAAAAACGAATCGGCACGTCTTTCTATCAATAAATTGAATGCTTTTTGAACCATTCAAATCGGTTGATCCGTGCGCCCGAAAACGTGGACGAAAAATTGTATCCATACATAGATACACACACACATCCATTTTTTTCTGAGGTATGCCAAAATGTTCAGAAACCTTCAAAACGTGAAGAAATGTAAAAACTTTCAATTTCGATTTTTGGGCGATTACAATAACTTACCCTACGGAAAGTTAATTAAACTACTTGTCGTAGGGAGCAGCGTCCATTAACCACGTGAGGTTTTTAGGGCGAGGGGGATTTGACAAAAAATCACGAAATATCACGTGGGGGAGGGAGGGGTATAGTAAGATATCACGTGTATTTATTTTTTAACTGTTTCTTTTTTTAAAAATCAAACATTTTCAAAAAAAAGCTCCATTCACAAATTTTACAGTTTTTTCACATAACTAAAAATACACGTGATGTTTGGTGGGGGAGGGGGGGTATTTTGAATATCACCATGTATCACCAAGGGTTAGGGGGTCCAAAATCCTTAAACTCGCTCGCGTGATTAAGGCATGCCCCCTAAGGCATTAATATTTCAGTAAGTTCTATAAGACCATGATAAATATCGCCAAAAAAGTTCCATAAAATCGGCTTAAATTTTTTTTTCAACAGTTAATTACAAGAAAACAAGCTCGGTAGATTTTCACTTAAAACTAATTAGTATCATTCCCAACTAATATCTTTTTTGATTTTTTAA